ATATTAAAAAATATTTTAAAATAAAAATATTAAAAATATAAAAAATAAAAAATAGTAATATTTTAAATTTTTAAAATGAATATTTCAGATATTTGAACTCAGTCTGTGTTTTAGTTCATAAAAGGCACATTGGAAAGAGGACCGTGTTTGGAACAAATCCGGTCAGACCCCTTCAACCTCCCTGGGCCTTAGTGTCCTCATCAGTAAAATGGAGGTGATCGTACGTCTCTTTAGAATTAAAGGTCTTGGTGTGTGATGGGTACGTGATAAATGGTAGCAGTGACTACTATTAATATGTAATGTAACATGGTTTTCTCCTTTATGGTAAAATATGTGGAACATGCCTTAAGGAGCACTTGGAATGAATCAAGTTCTGAGACTTTATCCATGACAGCAGTAAAATTCAATAAGCGAGCACACATTAAAACATACCATGTCTCTCAGGTGATAATCACGTATTTTATACTCTGTAATTTAATTTAAAAATGCTTTGATTTTGAAGTAGGATGCTTAATGCCTCAGTGCATTTACCAAGAAGATGGTTTATCCTTTTCAACTTTCCCCCAAAGGATTATGATATTATCTGGGTTCAGCCAGAAAGTAGGAAGATAATAAGTACTGCTTTTTTCTTTAACATTCCTCACAGGGTGAATTTAAGGTGTCAGAGAGGTACCTCACCATGGGCGATCTGACTAGCGCCCTGAGTGAGAACAGAGTGAAGGAGATGTTCGGCTCTGGGACGGCCTGCGTTGTCTGCCCAGTTTCTGATGTACTCTACAAGGACCAGGTGAGACAAATGGTTATTTCCTGCCATTTCCAAGCATTGGCCTCTACTTTCATTTTTCATATGTGTGAAGGAAATTCTACTTGGACCTGGATGCAGAGAGTAGTTCTGTACCGTGGCATTACATCAGTGTGGACAGTTTGTCCAGACAAACCTATATTGGTGTGTGACTTCCATCTTCACGGTGATTGCAAGTGAGCGCGAACGTGGAAGGAAGCCAGTTTTATCTTGTGCCGTGTTTGCTTTACCTCAATCTAGGGACTGGAGCTGTGCCAATAGATTAGATTTAAGTTTTCTGATTTCCAAACTACAGGATTAGGAATGGAAAATTGTTTTGGAAAGTGCATTTGAAAATTGTTTTGGAAAGTTTATTATTATTATTGTGTATTATTATTAAATAGCCTGCTTTATAAACATTTTTCACTTGGCAAAACTGGTGCGTTTACTAAAGTATTCCAAAAGGAACTCAAGGTTTTGGTTGGAAGACACATTTCGTCTCAGTAAATTACTCTGATTTTATATGTACTATATTTCAGTCATCTTGGCAAGTTTTGGCTTTCCCTTTAACAACAAATTTCTGGCACTTAGAATTAACATCAGCGAATGCCCCTTCAGCCTTCCTGAGCCTTAGTTTTCTCATCAGTAAAAGAGAGGATTGTGCCACCCTTTAGCACGTAAAGCCTTGTGGGGATTAATCTTACAAGATGAATTAGCTTAAATGATTCACGTGAAACATAAATTCCACTGATTTTTAAGTCCTGCGTTACAATTATTTTCTTTCAGCTGATCACATTGATTATTCTGCAGACTTAAATGGTGGCTGGCTCATTGCTAAAGGTTTTGAAATTTGTTTTAAGGGATGGCGCCTGACATAATCTCATCTACAAATTGGTTGTTTCACGGAATTATTCTGTTCTACATCGATACTAATATTTGAGTGTGACAGTATCTATGTTACGTTATCTGTCTACTTTATTAACTAAAGCTGTCATTAGGTCAGATATTTTTAAATGTTCAATTATTATTTCACCTCTGGAAATAAGTTTTTATTAGAGTTTAACATACAGTATTTTAATGGTTGTTTTAGGAGCTGTTCAGAGCCAAAATGTACATCTAATTATCTAATTATCCTGTTACACTGAAAGGCATAATAAGTGTTGGAGAGCACAGACTACCTTCTACTATCAAATTATCAAAGGACCGCAAGCCAGCGAGGCAGGAATGGGCATGACACAGATGCAGACTAGGAGCAGGGGTCTCTTTCGGCTGTGAATTTAGCCGTCCAGGGCTGTGGAAGCTGTGGCCCTGGAGGTCTGTTGCACACCCGATCTAGGGAGGGCACCTTTGTTGTGAAGGCATAGACTCGCTTAAACTCATCTTCCCAAAATGACTTGCTTTAATTTCTTTTTTTTTTTTTGGTTTTTCTCCGGTACCGGGAACCGAACTCACGACCTTGCGCTTGCCAGGCAGGCGCTTTTGCCGCTGAGCTAAATCCCCAGCCCCCTGCTTTAATTTCTTACAAAGTCTGTTTGCATCCTCCTTCTTTCTTTCTTTCTTTTTTTTTTTAGTTTTTAGTTTTAAATTGATGTATGTGGTATTGAAAGTGTACCAAGGTGAAAGAAAAACTGGTTAGAGGCTTAGAGGTAAGGAAAATCACTCATCCTTATGGATTCTCAGAATTTTGAAAGAGTCTGGGTTTTTATTCGCTTTATCATTATTTTGGGGGCCCCTTCCTCCTACTTGATTTCTCAGATCAGCCTGAAGACCAGAATATAAACCACTTGTGTCCTAAATGTAGTTACTAGGCAGTGAACAGCCTGTCATTGGCTAGCATTTATTCCAGTTCAGAATATAAAAGAATCTTCGGTGTGAGCAGGTAGTGTGAATAGTAAGTAGGTGATAGTGTATTCCTTATTTAGGGGGAATTGCTTTAATATAGTCAATTGCCACGTGTCTTGTCTGTCATTACTGTACACAGTGAGTATTCTCAAATTATCTCAATATCTTTTTTGTAGATGGTACACATTCCAACAATGGAGAATGGGCCTAAGCTTGCGAACCGTATCTTGGAAAAATTGAGTGATATCCAGGTAAAGATTTTCTTGTTAAATACTTACTACCTAGGGCCTGGCGGTGTAGATCAATGGGAGAGTGCCTGCTTTAGAGTGCAGAAAGCCCTGGTTTTCTCCCAACACCAAGGAATAAAAAATAAAATACCACCTTATCCCACGGGGGACTTAGAACTATATCATATTTCCATGGAGTGCAGAGAGCAAATATTACGATGTGAGATCAGTACCTTAAATTTAAAAATGATCCTGATACTGAGTGGGCGTGAGCCGAAATGAGAAGGTACGTATTTTAAAGAAGAAAAAGGAGAAGAAAATCTTGTCAGGGACTCCAGAATACTTAACGTTTAAAAAATAAATGTAAATTGTTATATAACATTTAGAAGTCTCATTAAAAAAATCACATTTTTGCTTTAAAAACCTTAAAAGTAAAGGGAAACCTAGGGAGAAAATAATTAACCTGTGATTCTAATGCTGAGATGTGAGCCACTGTTAATTTGGAATGTCTATGCTTTCTTTGTTTTGTTTAGTTTTGTTTTTTTTTGCGGTACCAGGGATGGAACTCACGACCTTGTGCTTGCCAAGCAGGCGCTTATGCCACTGAGCTATATCTCCAGCCCCTGAATGTCTATGCTTTCAGTGTCTTCTAAAATTTATACTTTCAGCTAGCTATTCTCCCCAGCAAGGTGGATTCATATCACTCGTAATTTTGTTGCCTGCTTGTTTGATGTATTACATAAGCCCTTAACTTTTTCATCTCAGTAACTAGTTTTCTCAATACCACTTAAAAAGTTGAGTTGAATTCCATTATGTTGATGGCACCATACATATTTAAAGAAATCATATTAACGAGCATTTGTGATGTTGGTGATTGTTTTTCACTATTATGAATAGGACATGCTTGATTGTTTCCTTAGGATACATCTCTACCACGGGTCAAAGGATGTGCAGGTTTTACTTCTAGCACTAATTTTGTTTAACCTATTCTTTTCTGCACATCCACCTTTGGCGATGTCTTATCAGATAGTTAGGCAGGCATGTCACATACCAGATCATTCTAGGCCATCTACAGAAAAGACTGGAAGTATTTTAGAAGTTTCTGGGGGATTTTATTGAGCCTAGATGTCCTTATTGCCCATTATTGAACATAGCCAAGGATAGCGAGACTCAAATTCAGTTTGATTATGTGGGAGACATTAGATGGTAGTGAATCATAACACTAAGCAAAATTTTTAGTTTGAGAATGCAACAGGTTTCTAGCAAGTAAATGAGGTTCTTGCATTGTTACAGAACAGTATTCTTTTAAGACTTACATAGCAACTTTTATGGAAATTTTTTAGTTTGTTTGTTTGTTTGTTTTTGTTTTTTACTGGTACCAGGACTTGAACTCATGACCTCGCACTTGCCAGGTAGGCGCTGTGCCACTGAGCTAAATCCCCAGCCCCCTTATGGAAAATTTTTAGTAGCAGTGGTAAAAGCAAGGAATAGTTATGGGTTGTTCTGTGTTGGTTTGTTTTGTGGTACTGGAGATGGAGCCCAGAACTTTCACACAGAACTACGTCCCTTTCTCTGTTTAAAACTATTTTATTTTGAGACGTCTTGCTACGTTGCATGGGATGGGCTCAAACTTCAGACCTCCTGTCTCACCCTGCCATGGTGCTGGGATTACAGGCCTGCACCCCATGCCCAGGTGCTTATGAGTTTTGAGTCGGTGAGCTGCCTCATCTCTCTTCAATACAGGTTTTCTGTAAGAATTTTCTGTAAGCTAAAAGGAATACCTTCATATCAGAGAAAAAGAAAAATGGCATTCAAGTTGTTTCCTACCTTTGTCTACAGAAACATAAGTAATTTGAAGGATGACAAATAAAGATTGCTATCTTAACGTTCAGACAGTTGTATTTTTCTCTGGGTTCCCTGAATAAATCTGATGAAGATGATTAGTAGTTTTGCTCAGATAAAAAACATAAATAGAATTTAAAAATATGTAATTGGCTAGGCAATGAAAGCCTTTATTCCAGTACCAGGAATTGAACTCACGACCTCGCGCTTGCCAGGCAGGTGCTGTGCCGCTGAGCTAAATCCCCAGCCCCTAAAAGCCTTTATTCAACATAAGAGTTTAGAGATTTTTTTAAGGGAGAAGAAGAAGCATGATCATAAATCAGAAGAAAGATTGCTGCAGAAATTTTCCTTAAACAAATTGTACATTTTATGCCAAATGCGGTGGCGCATGTCTGTCATCCCAGCATTCAGAAGGCTGAGGCAAGAGGCCTGCAAATTGGAGGCCAAACTGGGCTACGTCATAAGACCCTGACTCCAAAAAATAAAGTAAAATAAAATAAAAAGTTATTTTTTAAATTTTTAAAAATGTGTACATTTTATAGTATGAATACACAAAACGGGGTTTGGGCTACTTCAAGATTGTATGAGATAAGAAAATTTAAACTTTATTTGGTTGTAAAGGGTTAACAGAAAACAAAAAAGTAATTAATAAATAAGAGAAAAATTAAGCTCTATTAAATTTGCAGTTGGAAGACTGAAGGGGAGGTGTTCGGCAGACATAATAAGGAAGGAATTGCTAGGAATTAAAAGCAGAACAGTGACTCATTAGCATTGAGCTGATGACAAATATAATTAGGACCCAAAACCATGAATAAATGAGAAGCCTGGAGCCCTGTGTAGGGGCACACTTGTAATCCCAGCACTTGCGAGGCTGAGGCAGGAGGATCATTGTGGGGGTTCGAGACCAGCCTGGTCTACAAAGTGAGCTCAAGGTCAGCCTGAACTGCATAGCGAGATCCTGTCTCACAAAGAGCAAAAAAAAGGAAGCCTAAACATAATTTTGGGGCAAGTTGGGAAGCTGTTACCAAAGTTGTCCGAAAGCACATTTTATTTAAAGTAAAATAATGGAACCCAGAAGAATGTGACTAAAGAAAATGTTCTTGAATGAGTCATTCAACAAATGGATGTATAGAGTGCAAACATTGAGGTTGCTCCAGGTGCTGAGGACAGCACAGTAAAAAAAACGACAGAAAAGGAAAAAAAAAAAAAAAACCTGAAGAAGCCAAACCATGTTGTTATAAAGGGAGGATAAAATAAATGCTTTATATGAATGTGAGCCTGTGTGAAAAAGTTTAAAAATAAAAGATATATATGAAGGAAGATATGAGAAAAAAGCGAACTTTTCCCTCCCTCTTTATTGCTGTGGCTAAGATATTAATCATTTTCTTTTACTCAAGAAGTGAAGTACAGTGGTAGAACACTAAAGTCTAAATGATACCTCCAGAATCCCACCCTGGATAAAGGTGCAAAGGGATCTAATCTCAGGACCTGGGGATAATGCAGCACATCTGAATTAACCACAAACCAGAAGTCTCACAACTGCTCCAAACTGTTAATTAACAAAGGATCATCCATTCATAATCTAAAACCACATCTTTCTTCTTCACATATTTTGTGGCTGGGTGCATGGAACCTAAAGTCTCAAAATTATCCTCTTACATGATGGCAAATTGGTGCTGTCAGCCAAGCTGCTAGGGTTGTCCGAGTCCAAGAAAAATAATTTCAGTAATTACTGAGGAAAAAGTGTAGCGTTGCATCATGCTTTACATTTGATCTCTTTCGGCATTACATGGAAACGTAAGTGTTTCCTACAAAGTGCTCTGGTAAATTGAAGAAGAAAGGAACAACAATCACTAAAAAAAAAAAAAAAAATTTTTTTTTCATGATTCTTGCCAATATAACCCAGGGGAAAATTCTTCTTAACCACAGATTTGCCTTTCGTTTTAACTTTTGTACTTCTGTATTTGAGTAAGATTCTCTGAGGTTAAGTATTCATCCCATTTAGCTAATTATCCATATAGCTCCCCGGGTCTTAGATTACTCTACAAATAACTCCTAGGAGGGGAACATTTCCAATGAATATTTTTTTTCTTCTTTTTTTAAGTAACAAAGAAAAACATGTCTGTTTTTGTATTTAGCTGAAGTTAAACTTGGAGAATCTTAGCCATGTTGTCTGTGTTATTTTTCTCTCCTGTTTCCATTTGCTCTTCCAGTTAGTCATGGACTTACTCATCCTTGCTCCTGCTGTTGAGTGTCTTCCCTGTTCTCCCAGGGTGCTCTACTGTCTGATGCCACCTGCCCTGGCTGTACCTTCTAGTTTGGTCACCTGATAAAGTCTTGGTCATCCTTCAGCACTTACATTTTCTATAAACCTTTTAAAACTCTTGGGAGCAATACAGCTTTCCTGTGGTTCAGACACACTGTCCTGTTTAAATGCTTTGTCTTCTCCACTTGTCAGAGGGCTGGAGTTGTCATCTTGGACCAGTGATGGCAAACTTTGAGAGCTTTCGATGATACAAACAGTCCACTAAGGCCCTGGTGCCATAGGTTCACCATCACTGTCTTAGATCCTTAAGTTATAGTATAATGAGTCACATTTGTCTCTCTTCTGAGGCTGTTGAAATGTTGGAATTGTTTTTTTTTTATCTCCTGGGGTTCTCCACAAGACTGAGGGCAGAGTATTCCGGCATTCGTGTTTCTTCATAGAAAATAAAGGAATGAACAGCCAGGATGTCAAGAAAATACAACAACAACAAAAAAAATCGCTTTTATATGTTAAGACTTCTAAGACGACACAGGAGAAAGCTCTTGAATAATGCTGTATTATTCAGCTTCATGTGACTAAAATGTAATACCTGAGGCAGCTAACTTCATAAAGAGTAAAGGTTTATGTAGCTCACAGTTCTGGAGGTTCACAGTCCAAGATCAATGGGCCTTAATGGTTTGGCCCCTCAGAGGCAGGTGCCAGTGATGGGAGCACTTGTCAGAGCAAGTGGTCACATCTCAAGCCAGGAAGCAAAGGCAGATGGGCCGGGTGATCGTGTCATTCCTACCGTTGAGGCTTCCTCTGAGGATGAAATGAAGTGACAAGTTTGTGAAGTTCCCCACACAGTGGAGCCGGCGTGCATGATTGCTCTAAGGGGGAGAGCTTATTTAAACACAGATGTTTATGGAATGACTATCTGTTGACTATGGAACTAGCTTTAAGTTGTCAGCATAGAATATTTTGTTAAATTCATTCCAGTTCAGGGGTTAAAGTTCAAGTTTCTTTAGAAAGCAAATTACATGCTACTGCAATAACCAAATTGAGATTATGATAGTAAACAGTCTTTGAAAGAATAAAAAAAAACTGGGATGCCAACAGCAGCAGCACCTGTGACTTAGAGACCAAAATTCCTGCAAAGATACACAAGGAGAGCTGGGCACTGTTACGCACACCTATAACCCCAGCACTCTTGGAGGCTGAGGCAGAAGGATCACACCTTGGGCAACTTAATGACTTACTGAGATCCTGCCTCAACATGAAAAAGGGATGGGGGTAAAGCTCAGTGTGACCCTGGTGTCAATCCCCAGCATCACAGGGGAGAGAAAAGGACCTAGAAGAATTGGCAGTTTAATATTTTGGGACACGAAGATAAAGTGCTCTTTGGCATATGTCAGGGTTTTTTGGAAGTGCTGGCAGACATGGAGGCTTCTGGGACCCATCCTAAGAGTTTCTGATCCCATAAACCTGCGAAGGGACATGGCATTTCCATCAGGAGATGCTGATGCGAGTCGTGTGGAGAATACACTCTGAGCTGCACTTCTAGTGATAAAAAGGTCTGTACTTAAATTCCATGAAGGACCAACACCACCTGTGAATTTGCTCCTTTTTTGTTGCTGTTTTTGCTTAGTTTAGCCTGGTTTTAGGTTTTCTTGAGACAAGGTCACATTATATTATATAGTCCAGGGTGGCCTTGAACTCCCTGTGTAGTCCAGACTGGCTTTGAGCTCTAAGATCTTCCTACCTTGGCCTCCCGAGTGCTGGGATTACAAGCACGCACCACCATGCTTGAAGCCAGCTATGAATTTGAGCTTGGCAATAATTATAACAAAAGTCTGTGATTTTTTTCCAGGTACTTGGGTGTTTACAGGTCTCCCTAAGCATGTGTGTCGTCATCCTGTAAGGTGTCTTCCTCTCGTCCTGCCATCTTCCTTTCCTCTCTTCCTCTCTAATCTTATTTTTCGTATGAATTTATATGCTTCCAGTGTTCAAAACACAAGTGAGCCTTTTGTGTAGCTTTGGCTGTATGAAGCTGTTGCTGCAGTGTGAGCTGGTTACACTAACACACACTTTCTTGCTTTTGTTATAGTACGGTAAAGAAGAGAGTGCCTGGACAATCCTAGTATCCGAATGAGAACTGCAGATCAGCCATGTGCTATCGAAAAGGCCGCTGCCCTTGGATTGTGATAGATTCCTCAAGCAACCTGTCAGTAGTTGTTTATGATGTAGTTTGTCTTATTTGCGTGTTAAAGGATGATTTCTCTTTTTCTTGTGCCAGAGAACATGAATTGTCATCATCAGATATTATTTTATAAACTTGGGTGCAGTTGCTTCCTTCCCCTCTTCCCAGAAAGATAATGTAAGCCATATAAGGTAGCGTTTTCCTCCGTAATTTGAGTGCCTCCCTTAGTACTTCACTCAGATCCAAAATGTTGATTCCTTAGTGGAATGTGTGCCTCTTCAACCAAATGATAGCTGTGTGTGTGTGGAGGCTGACTTACACAAATTCTGTGTGATGTGTCATTATTCTTAGGAACACTCAGAAAGTGTTTTATTTTCTTCCCGAAGTCAAGATCTTGAAAAACTTGATTTCTTGCTGTCACATGTTTCTGCCGGTCCCTAATGCACCTGTGCACCTGTAGACCTGAGTGTGGTCTCTGTTGCCTTGTCCGTGTAGTACTGTAGCTGCCTGCTCATCAGGCTACTGTAAGACTGAGGGTCTCATGCCTTACAGATCTTTGTATGCCCACCGCCTGGCACAGAGTGTGTACTCAGTAAATATCTCATTGAATGAATGAACAAACACTTAGCTTCGGTAGAAGTGCACCTTCTATGTATATTATGAAACCTCTTTCTTAGAATTGTGACTCACTGTGACGGTGTGTAATATTTACCTCATTATCCTCATTTTCCACGGACTCCTAAGTTATTAGAGGTACTGAGAGCTGTAGTGAGTGAAGACGCTTGGAATTAAAGCAATAGCCCTGGAGAGAATTGTGATATTATCCCAGCCAAATGGTGATGGCACAGGTCGTAGGTGAGGTGTTAAATGTGAAATAGACTGTTTGAGGGGAGGGGTTGAAACCAGGGAGATGGGCTGTCTTATGCTTTGTTTTTGTAGGTGCTCTTCTCTGTTGAATGAGGATTGACTGACGCCTGGTTATGGGGAAGGGGGCGCAATTACAGATGCTGTTTTCCTCCCTTAAGAGCTGAGTTAAACGTTGTATCCTTTCTGAGTTTATCTAGGGGAAAGTGAAATCTTGACAGAAAACATTACCCTTGGAAGGTCAACTCACAGACACTGTATTTTGGTTTCCCTCAGTCCTAATGCCTTTCATCTTGCTGATCATATTTCATTCTCTTTTCAGAGCAGGGGAGAAAACATTCTAGAAGTTTGATGCATTGGAAAATTTTCCTTCAGGCATTTAACAGCACTTAGCAAGTGGGCTTTGATTCTTCTCCGGACCTTTTCGCTGTAGGGTCTTTTTTGAGACAGGAATGGTAAAATGAAAATTAGAGAAGGCTAAGATGAAAAGGAATGGTGAAAGTATCTTTTTAATTGGTGATCTGAACTCGTAGGCAAGTCTTCTCTTTTAGGCCTGGGCTGCTCTTAAAAAATTGAGTGTTCTAACGCCATACTGTTGACTTTGCTAAACCTTTTGACCTCATTCTTAATATAGCAATCTCAACAAGACTCCCAGGTAATTTTTACTATGAAGTAGGGCATAGTTGGACTGATTCCTATGAGGAAGGGAAATGGCTTGTTTTTCGTACAGGTATTTCATACTGTGCATTCTAAATTTAGTGTGCCCGTTGTGAAAGTGGGAGAACATGTTTATATCATTTCTTACATAAGAACATGAGAGCACGGTGAACCCTTTCCACCAGACTCAGTAAAAGCTAAAGATAATACATCTTAAAAACTGGACATCTCTTCATGTGGGGAACACAATCTGCCATTCTTTTTTAAGTAATAAGACAGGAAATTGGCCTTGATACTGACTTGTTAAAATTGAAAAGGAACATCTGCACTTCTTTTTTTCTTGTGCACTATTTGTTTAATTGCAGTGGAGTCATACCGTCACATTATATTACTAGGCAAGAGTGCCACATTATCACTAGGCAATTTTCCATTCTTCAAGACTTAGTTATCACATCACTAATTGATCATTTAAGGCATAAGATAGTCTAGCAGTAGGAACATGTGAAGCTAATCTGCTCAGAAAGATCAACAAATTAATATTGTTGCTGATATTTGCATAATTGGCTGCAATTATTTAATGTTTAATTGTGTTGATCAAAGAGATTCAGCAATTCACATGTGAATGACTGTAAACAGAACTGGTGGCAGTTGAAATGATAATGATTAACTTACTTTGCATGTTCTCTTCCTCCCACTTTTCCTCGTTTTACGTTTTAGACAGAGTTTGTCAGTTTTTCTCGAACACGTGAGTACAAACCAAGATTTTAAAATGAAGTGTTCAAATGTAGATAAAACCAGATTATTTCCTGAAAAGATTTTCTGTGAGATATTTGTTGTTGTGGCCGCCCTTTGTTTGGGTGTAGCACAAGAAGACCCGGTTCGGGGATGGATGTGTTGCCTGCTCTCCAGTACCGTGCGGCTGGTGCGAATCAGTGAATTAGTAATAGCTGGGTAGGCCTTTGCTTTCAAAAGGAAAAGGAAAAAGGACAAGGAAAAAAAAGAAATGACTGAGAAACCTTGTTAGGGAACCATATCTTTACACTTCAATACGCCTCTGTTCTTTTTTTCTCAAAAGAAAGATAACTTTAAGAAATAAGGAGAGAAACCATATGGTCACATGAGACATCAACTCCCCTAAACACATGCGCAGTCTGTGTTGCTCATGATAGGTTAAAAGTTCCTTATCTTAAAATTGGACCTAAACGTGTGATCTTATTTGCCTTAAATCTGAGCACTGTTGGGCATGTGAAGGCCTTTAGTGAGTCTAGCCCGGTCTGTATGATTGTAAGGACTTCATTAAACCTGCAGTTTCAAGTCCACTTCAGGGGGGATTCTGTTATGAAAACAACTGCTAAAATGATTGTGTCTCTTTACCTGCCCCCTTCATGCTCTGACATGGTGTTCTGGTTCTTTTCAAAACTATGTGTGTAATTCACTCTTAAGATTGGGGAAAATGTCTTTGATAATGTTTGTTCACTTTCAGCGGATCGTATTTTCTGAAACATTTAGAGCAATAAATATTCTTCAGATGCACCAAGGCGAAAGGCTTAGTGTGAGGGGTCAGCGGTCCCTTTCATGTCCTGGTTCTAAATGTGATTGGAGAACCCTCGTAATGTGGCCCTCCTCTTCTGTGTGTATGCAAAAAGTTGTTACAAAAAGTAGTAATGCTGACAAGTAATTTTAGTGGACATTTTATAGCAATGTCTCTTTGGTTTTGCTACAAGTAGAATTCATTTAGCTATCCATGTTCCAGATACCCTCCCCAAATGAGGCGCAAAGGGTAGTAAGTGTGCATTCTACATAAAGAGCAGGGTGATTATAATTCATTTGCCAAATATTGATCGAGCACGCAGAAAAGTGCATCTTACACAACCAGCAATAGGGTAGAGAGTTAGTTTTAGAAAATAAGTAATAAGTAAACATTACCTCATGAAGTTTATAGTCTATTACTTGAACTAATTTTAGATGTAAAAGCAGTATTTGTGAAGGATTCAATGAAGGTAAGAGAGAAAAGTCAGAGCACATCTCTCATATCAAGAAATCACAGTGAAAATTCCATCTCATTTTTTTAAGGACAGTGTTCCTGTTTGCATCTCTAGTGCAAAAGTACTCAGTAAGGTAGTATTTAAGGTTGTTAATCCACTGCGTGTGGTGTGAATTACCTCCTGGTTTGTGGCTTCCTGTCCACCTAGAATGTTGTCTGCATTCTTTTGGAGTAATGTTATGGTACATCTTGCAGAATACTGTAGATTTCAGCATACTTGCTGGCTGATCTTTTTAAATTCAAACCCAGATAATATTGAACTAAAGACAGTAATCCTATTTTTAAATTCAAACCCAGATAGTATTGAAATAAACACAGTTATCCTAGAGTGCATTTTTTAAGAAAATGTTGATTATGAATCAGGCTGTTTAAACTGTTAGCTTGAAGGTGATAGACCCAGCTACTCAGAAAATACCTTTCATTTCACCATGATTTTTCACAATTTGAAGTTTTTACTAAAAAAGGCCATTTAAATATTGGAAAGATTAATTTTTATCATTTCCACAAAGCCCCCTTAAAATGCAAAGATAGAATATGGTAATTTATTTTTCATTCTTAGCATACAGAACATAATAAAAGACTTCTCATAGTTCATCTGGGAAGGTTGATCATGAAACATCGATAAGGTGGCATCTGTGAGTGAATAATTTGCTGGGGTCAGATAGATGTAAACATTTTCCAATACATGCATTTTGAGTCTTAGCAACTAAAGTGCTGTTTAAAACATAGATTCAAGAAATTCGAAAGTTTTGAGTTTTCTCCCTGGAAGTACATTTTCCATACCTTGATAAACCCAATAACAACACTTAAAATCTAAGTTGCTTAATGTAATCCCCTATTATTGGTATGGCAAGAATTAATGTAAGCTGTGGTGTTGGAATAAATTATAGTTTCACTAACAGCTTTCTCTGCCTGTCCAGTATCACAGTGGTGAGGTTCCTTGTTATCTGTTACTGAATTATGGGAAAAAAATGAGTGAGAGAAGTTGTCAGAGGAAGAACAAGTGAAGGTAGCAAAGGGAAGGAATGATGAGAGAAGAAAACCAAACTCACCTCTGTTGTCTAAAATAGCTTTTCCATATTTTGCCACGCACTGGGATCTTCAGTCTTTAATATGTGTCAAATGTAAATAGTGCCATTAGGAAGTAAGTAACTGACACTAGTGACCAGTCCATCAAATCTTAGAACTGGGCCCCAGTCTTGAGTTATAATCTGACAGTTGTGTTAGGGAGATTCCACTCTAGATTGCTACCAGTTTGGGCAAGACTTTATAATTGCACAGTATATAAGATCTACTGTATCATTTCTTCAGCCATTGTATTCTAATACTTATGAATCATTTTGAAGCCAAATAAGTGACAAGGAATAGATTATGGCTAGTTTTTGCTTAGAAATATTATCCCCCCCAACACACACACGCGCACCCTTTTCCCTGATGAAAGTCTGCAGATTTGGAAATTGATTGAATATTACTTAGCTTTTACCTGAGATATGCAACAGGCTGCGGTCTTCTCAGATTGGGTTCACATGGTCATTGAAATCATTCTCAGGGTTAAGAAATGCAAATATTCTTCTCAATTTCTGCATTACCCCGGAGTTTTTCAGGAGGGCAGGAATTCTTTAAGAGTATGGCTCGAAGCACATTTGAATCACATCTTTAAAATAAGCTAGCTAACCTGTTGGCATCTGTAAATTCTGCAGACGTTTCCCTGGTAATCACAACAATGAATAACCCACAGTATACCGAGTTAGCCAACACACAGAGCTGGAGCCTGGCCCTCACTCTCAAAGAACTTTTACCTATTTGTTAGGGTGCCCGAGAACAAATAAATAGTTTGAGAGAATGTTTTAAAATGAGATCTTGTAGACAGGAATAGAAAATCAGTTTCACTGGAATTTGTAGCATCTCTGATTGCCATATTCCTCAAGTTGTGTGGTGATTCTTGAGATTCTCTTTAAGAAAATGCAGGTAGAAGGAAATAAACAGTCTGTAAAGGAGGGTTGGCTTTTGTGAAAAATTGTTTAAAGGTTATGCTGAAAGGATTTCAGCCTGCTACAGTGTAATAATGGAAATGCAGAAAATACAGTGGACAAAAAGGAAACTACCTCATTCTGTGAAGGTTTTGTAGAAGCACAATTAAACATTCTCAAATGGCTTTGTTGCCCGAGAGCCATCTGGTGTGAAGAACTATGTTTGTTTGTCTAAAGGACCTGAAGTAATTGTATTTTGCTGGCAATAGACACATTCTTTATTGTTTGCAGGTTCCTCATCAAATCTATAATTACGCAGTTTCTGTCATCAATAAAACAACTTAAAGGAATGCTGTTTGTGTATTCTTGTGAAATTGGCATTGTTGTGTGCATGGAATAATAATGCTTAATTATGATTTTATGATGTCCCAAGGATTTTGGTCAGGGGATGTAAGCGTACTGTGGTACTTTTAAACCAAAACGACATTGAGGGAGTGAAAAGGATTGATTGAACATACCAAGAAAGACTTGAAACCATAAATATGTCTTACGGCAAACATTTGACTAAGAAATACAAGGGACACTTCTAGATCATCCTTTCTCCTGGTTATGAATTTATCATAGTAAAATTTAGCTTTGTCTTTTGAGTTTTACACAGAACAATAGGTGAGATTGCCTCTTCCCATTTGCTATCATGATGGATGAATCTCCTTGATAAAATCTTATACCAACGTGTGGTTAAGTAGATTTAGAATAAAATAAATTTTGTAAACTGAAAGATATTTGATCAAAACTTCAAAGAACAGCAGTGGTGGATCCCTTTAGACAAAATAGGACTATTACTGTATGTATTATCTCAAAAGCAGATGCAAATATCTCAAAACACAAATGCAGATACATCTGAGCACTGTGTATTTCATCTTGTGATTTTTTTTTTTTCAAGAGCAGTGGACTGTGTACTGTACGTTATGCAACTTAGATTTTAAGTCTTGTCAGTTGGGTCTCTAGTGGCATGAAAAATGTACTTCCAGGCAGATGACCCAAAACTTCCAAACTTCTTAAATCTGTGTTTTAAAGAGCACATTAACGGCTGGATCCTGTTGACCTGTGAAAATATGGTCCTTTGTCAAGATCTCATCAAGAAGCTACAGGCAAAAAAAGAATGAGAAAGAAAATTAATGCAGAATATAGAAGGTCCAGGTGAAAGTTGTTGGTCAGTTCTCTGACAGTGTCAATTGTCTTTAACTCAAGCAAAGATGACAGAGCTGACATTTCGGAGGATGATGACATGTATTTGCTGAAGCTTACATAATTCATTGGAGGAGACAGCAGCCTCCTTCAGGGTACAAAGTGTCCCTTCTACATTGAGTCAGGAGCGAAAAGAAAAAGGGGAAGATTTCCTACTTGTGTAATTTTTCTGCTAAGCTGATTCAGTGTTGTCTTCGGCTTACTTTTCAAATCAAAAATCTGATTCCATGTACCTGGCAAGGGACCTATGCTTCATCTCATAAATTATTTTATGTGAAAAGTGCTATTGCAGCCTGACTTTCTTTGTAAAAAAAAAAGTTGCGGATTTACATTCTTTTGACCAAAAAGTCCACAGCCCTACTGTAGTCACTACTTTTTGTCTATAATCTGGGCTTGTGCTCTAGATGTGTCTGCACAGTAGGGACGGTAGTGATCGAAACCCCCCGTCCCTTACTCCAAAGGTCATTGTGAACAAATCAATAGGGGCTTTGAAAAGTAAGATGAAAAATACTAGTTGTAATATAGTGTTTATTATAGGATCATATTGACTGTATCCCAAATGCAGTGCACCAATTTTTAAAGCTGAATTGCTTAAAAAGAGATTGCATTGCATTTAAAAAGTTATATAATCTAGTCCATATTTCTCGTTAAAGATTAATTCATGGTAATGACAGGTGATACATACTTTCTCAAGATGATATATAACAAAACACCTTTCTTAACATGCAAGTGGCCTAATTAAGAGAATAGTGAAGAGCCATTGGCTGACCTTGTGATCATGAATAAGTTTTCTAAATGGTGGGCGTGCAGATCATAACAGCAATCTGAAGAGTTAAGGTATAAACCATGCTAGATAGTTTTATGTTCCACATACAGAAACTACAATAGATAATTTTATGTGTCAACTTGACTAGGGCGATAGTGCCCAGCTCAAACACCAGCGTAGATGTTGCTGTGAAGGAATCTTTATGTGTGGGGCGTATTTAAATCAGTAGACCTAGAGCTGGAGATGGAGCGCAGTGTTAAAGTGCTTGCCTATCATGTATGAGGCCTGAAGTTCATTCTCTAGCACTGCAAAAAAAATCAGAAGATTTTGATAAAAGCCAATCACCCTCCATAACGTTGGTGGGGCTCATCCAATCACTGATAGACCTAAAGAACAAGGGCCAGGGATGTAGCTCAGTGGCACAAGAGCCTGCTTTGCAAGTGCAGGGTCCTGAGTTCAATTCCTGGTACCAAAAAAAAAAAAAAGAAAAACAAAACAGCTTTCCTACTTTTTTTGTACCAAGAATTGAACCCAGGACCTTGTGCTTGCTAGGCAGATGCTTATGCCACTGAGCTATATCCCTAGCCCAAAGGCAGCTCTCCTGAAGAGGGAATTTGGCTTTAAAACTACAACATAGTAATCCTGCCTGACATTTCCAGTCAGTCTGAGTTGCTTGGCAAATTTAACACTGAAAACCACAACATTACCTCTTACCTGATTTTCCTTTTTT